CTTTGTACTCAATCATCTTATAACAGTCCGTGTCAGCATAAACACAATATATATTACATACTTTCTTATTTTATATAATATAGATGAAATTTAGAGAATAAATCAAAATTGTGTATTGAATTTAAGTTATATATATTTAATGATTGTGAATTTTCTTGTATGATTAGTGTAATTTTGATTTGATATTATTGTATGTTATATTTCTTAGGTTATCGATTAATAGTGGTCATTATAGTCATTTACTTAATTTAATTTTACAAATATTTTCTTGGGTTGATTATATATTTATATGCATTCTCCCGATTAAAAGTGATTTTATAAGTTCAACTTAGTATACATAAGTGAAATATTAGAGTATATTTACTATATGTAAAGGCAGCGTTAAAATTTTAATTAAATTTTGTGAGTTTTGGATTATAAAAATGACATCTTACTGAATTCTTGATAAATTATTTATATATTACATAAATTTTAAAATATAAATATAAAATTTTGATCAAAATTACTAAATTAATTATATCGAACTCATACACGATTATAGTTCCGTCTATATAAATTGATCGGCTCTTGATATTCGCAGGAGGAAATTAGAATATTAGACCATTATATATTCTTGTCCTTTCCCCCTTAGATATAACTCAATTCATTCTCAAATGACAACTAGCTCATAAATTCCGTTGAGGATATTCAAAATTTAATATATACGTATGAAAAATAATTTTTAACTTATATAGTTTATATAATTTTTTACATATATAGTACTATAATTTTTTGACAAAAAATATTTGATTGACCGTCCTTCCCTACGTGTGGCTACGCCTAATTGGCTAGATATACCTTAGTAGGTTTGAAGTTCAAGTCCAATAATCTGAGTATAGTGGAGCATTCATGCCTATCAACGATAGTATTGACTATGAACAATATCATATATTTAATTGCGTGTAATGTGCCCTATAGATGATTTGAAGTCCTATGATATATCTTATATTAAAAAAATATATCTTACTTAGTGGAGAATTCATGCCTTGGACTCTATAAGGTAGTTGAAATTTTTTTTGACAAAAGAACAATGATTTCATGCATTAAAGGAATTCTTTCTTGAATAACATTGTTAATAGTAACCCCAAGATTAAAGTTTTTGATAAAAAGTTACCCCATTCTTTCCTTTTTATTTATTTACTTTTAGCCTTTTGCACACCTATTAAAAAAGTTATTTTGGAATTTGAATTAAAAATGCTATTGTCTATATTAAATTTAGGGAAATTTTGTAATTATACGATTTAATATAACATAATCTCTAAAATATCTCTATCATTTGAATTAATAAAAAAAAATCTCTTTTTTCCTTCTCTCTCTTAACATCCGGATACATTACTTCACCTCTATCAAATATAGTACAACTTTGTTTGTCTACAATGTATTTGATACACATATTATTGTTGATATATAATCTCAATTATTTCAAACCTAAATCAGTATGTATCTGGTTTATAGTTATATATCTTATACATAACTTATGTATCATTTGCTATGTATCGGGCGAAGGAGCAATATATCCGTGAGTTGAAAAAAATTGAGATAGAATGTAATTGGTGCACAAATTATTGAGAATTATGTACTTTATACTTAAATCTATCTCTTCTGAAATTATAGAGAGAAAAAAAAATTAATATCTTCTTAGTTACCTAAAAACTCACTTATTTTATCTAGCAAAAGGATGCATGGAAAGTTACAATATTTTTTTATGACATAATTTAACTTGACGCAATTTTTTCATTAATCAATTAATGAAAATTTCCCCTAATTAATTAGTATTCTATTTGTCCTTATTTATGTGACATAATTTAACTTGTCGTAAGATTTAAGGGGGACAATAAAAAGATTTTTGAAACGTGTAGTCTAACACAAATCTGAAATATTTAAGTGGCTAGCTATAAATTATTTCATTAAGGATAAAAAGAGAATTTTAATTTTTAATTATGGAAAAATTTGCCCCACAATTTTAAGAAACTGCAAATATTATAGCTTTAGAGCTAGCACATCATTTGAGCTAAATTACATGCATCCTGTATTGGGGTTGTTGAAAAAAACACAATTAAATGAAAATTTGAATAAACTATTTTTTAACAAATTATAGCGGCCCTTTGGTAATTAGAAGTGATGGTTATGCATGTAATCATTTCTAAACTTTATTTAATTCCTAAGCATGTTTTGTCATTTATCGCTGCACCTATTTTCACTCTTCTAATTTATAATATACACAAAAAAAAAGTTGAGAAAAAGATGGTAATAATGATTAGAAATTGATGATAATTATTTCCTTTCGATTATATACATTGCTAAAGGAATCTTGTTATAGTGTTGAGTTGGTGTAGCACAACTATAATAAGCTTAATCAAATATGTTTTGTTTTATTGTTGAACTGTGTCATAAAAAAATAGAGACACATAAGTTGGCAATATAACAAAAAATGTGCTTTAATTTCAAATAAGTTAAGGTTAATTATGGTCAATTATATAGAATTCTATTAATATTTTTTACTTCATTTAAATTCATCTCAAGCTAATACTATATAAAATTAAAATGAAAAATATTTTTAAAAAATTATATTTTCTACTAACATATAAATCTCTAAACAAATACATAGAAAATTTATTGGAGTTGAAAGATTTTTAAAGATTATTTGATTAAATCAGAAATCAAAATTCTCTCTATTAATTGTAGATAAAACTACTCTTGGCAAGTCCTTTATCAACATGTGAAATAGTTATTAATGCACTTTTTATAAGGATGTGTTGATAGATATAGGATTAACATAAAAAATTTATTGGTTGATACAAAGTTAAAAAAAATGTATATTTTATGATCAATTGGAATATTGCTTGCAAGGATAAAACAAAACTTGATTTGAGTACTAGAAAATGTAAGAAAATAATATTGCAATACTCACAAAGTATGACTTCAAACTAGAGTTGTATCAATTCAACCTAGCTCAAATTTAATGAAGTAGGATAAGTCAATCCTTTATTTGAAAGGAACTTAAAATGATTAGTTTAACACAATTCTAAAAGTTAAAGGTCGACGTCTAGGGAGGAATATCCCTTATTTTTTCTAATATTTTTTTTAATATTTAAAGTAAAGAAACACTAAATTCTTTCATACTCAAATAAAAGAAAAAAATTCATACAGAAGATCAATAAAATTTAAAACTTTGTTCGCGTGGCTTGGTCCTCAGACAAGGACATCTCTTTTTCTGCTTTAGTCCTAAAATTCATTAGGTCATGACATTTGTTTGATTCAACTATAGTAAAGGTGAGTATAGCTAGAGGATAAAGAAGACGCAATAAAGGAGGTAATTAGTTTCTTCAACAAACAATTTACAAATGTTGAAAATCCCGTTGACTTTTAACTTCTATAAGAATTAGATAGAAAATTAGGATTTCAGGCCTAGAATTCTTAAATTAAAAATATATCATTTGACAGTCGAATAACTGTCCATTTCAATTGTAATTATTTACTTAAACTAATGAGTGCAATGCATTTATCTCTTATACACATATTTATCACACTACATCAAAAATGATCATTAGCGGTAATTAATTCTTAATTGCCGCTAAATATGTATTTTTAGCGGCAATTAGCACTCTTTGTATATGTCCATAAAGCCTTTAGCGACATTGGTTCTAATGTCACTTAACTAATGCCGATAAAGACTTTAGCACTCTTTATTAATGTCAATATTTATTACCACTAAAAGTTATTTTTGTTGTAGTGTCACTTAACTATATAACTAAATAATATGTATTGTTACTTTGATTTTTTACCATAATTTTTTTTAAAAAAATTTAAGCTATTTGTGTGAGTTGAAAGAGGTTTGATTGGCTAGTAATTAACAGCTAAACTTCCACTAGGATAAATAGATAGAAAAATAGAGAAAGAGATTTAATTAAGAATAGGGAGACAATGAAAATGGGAGGTGAGTAGATGTCACAACTTTTAGCAGTAGAAATCATTTTAGAAAAGGGGTGTTGGAGGGTAAGTTCAAAGGTATATCTTGTGGATAGATTGATGGCAAGATAAGTAGCATTTTCATAGGCATTGGCATCATATTGTTTGCCATATTAGTAGACTATCTCATTAAACCTTTTCACTTATTCTTTTTCAATCATCACTTCTACAAATAATAAAAGGCTAAAAGCAATTGGAATTAGAAAAAGAACAATTTTTTTTTGAAGGAGTACTCCTCTGAACATAGTTATCTCAAATTATTTATCATAAAGTTCAAGACAACATTTATTATTCTTGAAAATTATAAACATCTTAAGTAATATTTCCTCCGTTCTTATTTATATGTTACCATTTTAGATTTTATGTCCCTTAAGAAAGATAAGTTTATCATTGCACCCTTATTTAATATTCTCTTGAACTCAAGTTTTCAATAAATGAACATGAATTAATTTATTTTGATTAATTAAATTGACCAATGAACATGAATCAATCATTTAACTTTTCTATGTTGATCAAATTCATACTTTTAGGGCTAATAATTTTCACTGATAAAATAGGAAGAATTGTATCATTTATGCTATTTTTACTACTGTTATTAATTTATTGGATCAATAGATCTTTATAAACACAAACATTTATTTAAAAAAAGAACATGGAAATATGCGATTTGTTAATGCAACGTCTTGCGATATTTTGTTACCTTGTGTATGGACTATAATTTGCTCATTTGATAAAAAAAAGTTTAAATAATTTTCACAAATTATGAAGTTTTCACATTTATGAGAAAAATATGACTTTTTGAGATTGAAATTACGTCTCCAAATAAAATTTCTAACTTCAAATAAACTTATTTTATAGTACTACCTTCTTTAACTAAAAAAAACAATTTATGTAGGGGAGTGATTTTCTAGTCCCTAAAAGTGAATTTTGGATCCAAAAAGCCGTGCATTTGAAGACTATATTACTAGTAGTATTTGTTGTTTTTTTTATATAAAGAGAAGATCAAAATCAAAATCAAAATCACTAGTCCATAAGCTCATCTGTTCACTTTTTTTCCTAGTACTAGTATTATATACATATTGCTTTTCAACTTAAAACAAAGAAGCAGTATATTCAAAATCTTGAAATAGTGATGGAGGTGAATGTTGCAATTCACAAGTTAACTCTAAAACGCCGTTTCTACTCTTCCCAGAAAGCTTACTGTTGATAAATTAGCTAAAGATTCTTCCTTTTTAAAGTTTCTTCATCCACTCACTTCAGATTTTGAGATGTTACTGTCATTTTGTAGAAAAATTAAGAATTAATTTGTTAGTTTTCTTGTTCTTGGTCTTTATAGGGTAATAAAGATTTGATTTTTATTCCCAAGTTGATACTGTTGTTCAAGATTATTGTTGTTTGGTATGGAAATTTGCATGGATAGTACAATTCTGTTTATGGGTATTGCTTTTCTTGGATTCTTGGTTTCATTTTGTGTTGCTGATTACTGAATAGGGTTAGTTGGCTGTGTTGGTTCAATCAAGATTTTGACTCTTTTTTTCTGGTGTGGGGTTTGGTTTTTTGAGCTCTGGGAAGAGGGAGAATGGGAAAAGATGATGGTATGCTGCTTCTTTCAACAGTAGGACCGCCAATAAAGCGGCGAGCAGGGTTGAGAAGGAAGCAGGCAGGCAGAGGATCATATAGAGGAAGTTAGGTATTGGGATAAGGGAAGAAAATTGGGGATTGTTAGGGTTATTTGAGGTTTAGGACTGGGTTTTGTTTTGAGAGTTGGTGGTGGGGATTAGTGTGTTAAATTTTTTGGTGACTAGGGAAAGAATATGGCAAGCCAACTGCAACAAGCACTGAGGAGCCTTTGTTGCAATACTCCTTGGAAGTATGCTGTGTTCTGGAAGCTCACACATCGAGCTCGTATGTGAGTTCTTTTGCCTCATTCATCAAGTTTTTAGCTTCCTGTTACTGATATTATTTCTTTTGGTATTGCTACAAAATGGGTAAAAGTGAAACAAAATATATTTTTGTATGTCATGCTTTTGCTTTTCTAGTTAACTCAGAACTTTGATTAGCTTGCCCAGAAAATGAAAAGGTTTTTCCTTTCAGATTTATTACTGGAGTCATCCAACTTGTGTTTTCATATTCATTTAATGAAAAAAGAATCTAATCTGAAGTATTGAGACTCCGAAATGCACATAAGGAATCTAGATGCAAAATCTGTTTTTCTCAGTTAGCAGGAGGTTCAGGATATAAAGCTACAATAGCTTCCCCTTCAACTGAGAAATAAATGCTTGCATACACTAGAAACTACCTTTGCAGGAAATTTTTGGCCATACCATAGAGAAACATTATTTGTGGTTTTTGAATTCTATCTCCTACAAGACTAGTGCATTTGTAAAGAGTAAACATATGAAGACAACCTCTTTAGAAAATTCTGGTATCCCTCTTTTACGGATATAGCACCATCTGATTAGGCCTTCATGAGACTTATAAGAATGGACCTTGATTGTGAAGCTTATTGGAAGATTGATTTTATAATATAATTGCTGAAACTTGATTTTATCAAGTACGAGGTCCATTTGAGATGAATAGATTTCTTAGTTGTGGTTGGTAATCCGGCATAACTTGGCCTTTATTTAATACCTTTGACTATAAAAGAACAACATTCCTCTCTTATCTGTTGTCCATCATGTGGATTTCATTGTAGGATGTTGACTTGGGAGGATGCTTACTATGATAACGATGGGTTTCCAGGGAAAAAATCTCCTGGTAGTACAGCAGGCAACCTTTATGATGGACATTATTCCAACAATCATCTTGGAGTAGCTGTGGCAAAGATGTCCTATCATGTTTATTCTCTTGGAGAAGGGTATGATATCTAGATGACCAGGAGCAAGTTTATGATTTATCTCATTTTGTCAATTCTAATGATGTTAAAGCTTCAGGAAATAAATATGTCCGTTGAAGAAATTGCATTTTATTCTCTATCTGTTTCTGCATGAGATTAATTCATTTCAGCATGCAAGCTTTAGTAGAAAGCTTGAGAGTATAGTCAGTTCGTCACACAGTAATTCTTTGTAGACAATATGTTCCAGTTAGATTGAATCTACGATATAATTTCTCTCTGAGGTGGATTATGGTAATTAAATGTCTAACTATCCCTTTGGACAGTATTGTTGGGCAGGTTGCAATTACTGGAAAACATCTATGGCTTTCAGCAGACAAAGTTGCAGCTATCACCAGCTTGGCGCCTGAGGTGAGCCATTTTTTCTTAGCATGTACAATTAGCATGCTTCTGATGAATTTATGTATTAAGATGCAACAATATACTTCCTTTTATGCAAACGTGAATGTTACGGATAGAAAATTTTTCAGTTTCTAATAATAAGTACATTGACTTGGGAGAGGATCTATTATACTCGAATTCTCAATATGAACTACTCTGTGACAATTACCTCCAAAACTGTGTAATGGACTTACTTCTTGAACTATTTGGATGGTGGATAGAGTAAAAGTATGTTCCATTAGACTTCTTATTGATTTTAACTTGAAAGGTATTCCATCTTACAGAAGTTGACTTACCCAGCTTAAAATTGAAAATGTGATAGTAAATTTAAGGGTAGATTGTATATTGTGTACACGGTTATTCATTATGAGTTTTTCATTTTCAGCACTGTGATGGGTGGCAAGCTCAATTTTCTGCTGGGATTAAGGTAAAGCTAACTATCTTAATCCCTCAGTTGTAATATTTTTCATGGTGATATAGTCTGCCATACATGTGCATCATATATGGATATAGAGATGGTCTGGAAGTTTAAGATTTTGGCATCACTTCAGTTTCCTAATAGAGCACCAATGAACATCTATTTTTTATTAGAATCTTTCATTCTATTTTTCGATTAGAATTTCTTTCATTTATAATATTTTGGTGTTTGATGTATTCTTCACCTCTGATGCATATATCTCACACCATATTATTCTATTTACAACAGCTTTTGATCTTTCCGTTATTTTTCTTGACATAGCACTTTATGGAAAATGTTAAAAGTTTTTCTCTACAATATTGCGATGTCAATAACATTTTTGATTTGATAGTCCATCACCCATTGTCCAGCAAGGGTTAGAAGTGCAAAATTCTTGATGTGGGACTAACATGCTTGGCGTATAAAGAAACTAAGCAACTTAAAATGTGTGAGAGTTGATACTTATCATTTCGAAGAATATGTGAGTATTCCGGGGAATTTTGACATTTCTAAAGATGATTGACAACCACCAAGAATGACAGCCTACTTCCTACACAAGTAGAATCAGCATACAAGTTGTATTAAAATTTTACGCCCATTGAGTGATACCTGTTCCTTCTGTCATAACTCATTTTAAATATTGCAGTTGACCATCTCCAACCCACCTCTATTTTACTCTCCATTCTCTATATTTGGAGAGTAAAATAGAGAATGGACATTCCAACCCACCTCCATAGTAATCTCTACTCTCTATTTCACTTTTTTATTATTTTAATATTATTTTTATTATTTTGTAATGAACATATTATTTTACATATAATGCTATTAATTAAATATCTAATATTTGTAATTCTTTTTAAATATAATATAATATTTTAAGATATATATTATTTAATATATACTATTTTCATCTCGAATTGATAGTATTTTAATTTTTTTAAATTTTTTATCACTAATATAATTTGAAAATCTATGATTTGAACAATTTTTAGCTAAACATAGAAAAATTAAGGACAAAAATGCTCATTTTTAACTCCGTAATGCATTAATAGAGCATTTATGGGAGCAACGTCATAATCTTGAAAGTTGATTATTTATGTAATTGTATTTCATTAATGGTTTCTTTTATTTGAATCGTCCATTAATTTGTATAATATAGAATATTTGCTTGCAATTTATGTTATTAAAAAATTTAAAATAAAATGTAACTTTATATTAAATAAAGAATTTGAAAAATAAAGTATTATATCACATGAAAATTATATAAAATGATTATTTGGGAAAAAAAGAAAAAGAAATGATATATATTATGAAATAAGAAAATAAGAATGAAATAGAAATAATAATATAATATTGAGGAGAGAGAAAAGATTCTTTTTTAGAGAGTAAATAGAGAATTGGATTAGAGTTGGTTGTCTGAAAAAATAGAGAACTCTATATTTGGAGAGTAAAATAGAGGATAGGGTTGGAGATGCCCTACTGTTATAAACACTGTTTCCAACTAACTTGAACCATTTTTCATTCAACCTTTCCTCTAAATCTCTCAGCTGAATCATCTTAGGTCAATAGAGTGAGATGGAGGGGATGAAATGGTTGTGCATTACTATGATGTGTAGATGATCAGTTACATTTAAACTTAAGGTGTATAGAGGGAGCTCCTAACATTCTGGCATTGACAGAGTGATTGGATTAAAGCCGAAGAACTGTGTTTTTTGTATTAAAACTGTCAAATTAAAGAAAAGAAATACCTCCTAAATTTTTATCCTACTTGAATCAGTAAACCGTGTTTTTGTGTGTTCTAAGGAAGGTCATTGAGTTTCTTCCACAAAATTCTTGTGAAATGCATGTGACAACTGACAAGTAGATCGTTTTCACATTGCTGCTAGTCCTTCAAGGCAATACAGTCATTGCATGAGATGACAAGGCTTGCATCAACTGACTTCTTGATGCTAACCTGCACATGTGAAGTTTATGAAGATAGTTTAACTTCTCAATCTTAACTGTAATTTTATCCGTCTCCTATCGTATGAATTTTATCATGAACTTTATTGGCTACATAATATGGGGCCTCAAAGAAACATTTTTTCTTGAATGCAGACCATTGTTGTTGCTGCTGTTGCTCCACATGGAGTTATACAACTTGGATCCTTGGATAGTGTAAGATGATCAACCTCATCGTTTAAGATCTGTAAATGGTTAAAGTGCAGGACAAATAGAATTTTATTTCAAACTACCTTCAGTTTTTTCTTTATAATGTTTATGACAATTTTGTGACTGATCTCTTCTTGACCTGTATTTGTTTAATTTCACATGTCTCACTACATTTTGGACTGCCTCCAATGCGTCATTTAGTTCCATCTAAAATTCATCACCTTGTGAAATGAATTTCCAACTGGTTTTATCATTTCTAGCTTAGTTAACATCATATGTTACCATTGATCTCTACAGCAGCTATCAGTAACTAGATATGCCTTGTCTGCAAATCTTATTTTCTTTCTATTAGATCCCTGAGGATTTGAGGGCGATCAAGCATATTAGAGATGTCTTTTCTGAGCTCCAGGAGTTGATGGCAAGTTGCTTGCGGAGTTCGATGCAGTACAGCATGGAAAATTCTTGCTTGGTAAATTGACTATTGCTCACTGAATTACTGTTATCACAAATCATTTACGCCTTTATCTGATGCTGCTACATTTTCCAGTCAGAGATATCGACAAGAACCTCAGGTTCAGAGGTTTTTCAAGACTGCGTAAATAATCTAGGTAGAAGTGTTTGTGAAGATGGGAGAAATATGTGGTCTCCTCTATATACATCTGTTGAAAAATCTGTTGATCATTCTTGTATCTTCTCACAACCTGGAGGTTTCCCAAATAAAATACTTGAAGCGGTACATAACCAAGGACTTCACAGGACTTCAGTTCAAGGATCTGATGACTCTGAGAATCTGCTTCCGGCAAGCTGTGAAAGTTCCATTATAAAACACCAAGA